TTAATATTATGATGTTGGGCTGACCCTTCAGAAGGGCAGGAAGGTCCTCAGTCAAATCCTGGAATTCTTCCTTGTTGGGTCTTGACAGATCACCTTGAACTTTGTGAAAATCCACAGGCTAAGTTCTCTACCAGCAGAAGAGAGTTCCGTGACAGTTTCACATAACAAGTTGTTTATGTGGACAAACGGATGCACGGACTAACAGAACACCGCTCGGCCAGTGAGAGCAGGAGAAAGCTTGTACCAGGCCTTCTGCAGTTTTGCCACTCAGCTTCTTTTGTTCTGCTGCCTTTCAACCTCTTCCCTAACTGGATTCATATGAATAGTAAAAGGGCAGAAATTTTAACCTTCGTATATCTGTGGAGATGAATAAACCTAAGTCTTTATTAAGAGTTCCTAATTTTTCTTAAAATTTCACTGCTAAGTGAATTTCCCCAAATCCTCCATATAACGAAATTACTAAATGCTCAAATGGAGCCTCACAATTGCTTGTCATACTTCACTAGAGTTGAATCCCTGGGTAGTGAAACAAGTTCACGGGCCCAGCTACAAACCAAAAGGTTGGAAGTTCGAGTCCACCCAGAGGCACCTCAGAAGAAAGGCCTAGCAATCGACTTCCAAAAACATCAGCCATTGAAAACCTATGGAGCACAGTTCTACTCTGACACACATGGAGTCGCCATGAGTCTGAGTCAACTCAAGAGCAACTGGTTGAGTGATTCAACATGTAATTCAGTCTATTACATTTTTTAGTTTATAAAATAAGAGGTAGTAATTAAGTGTTATAGGAGTCCCTGCGTGGTACAAATGGTTAACCGCTGGACTACTAGCTGAAAGGTTGGCGGTTCAAACCCACCCAGAGGTGCCCCAGAAGACAGGCCTGGCAATCTGCTTCCAAAAGTTTACAGCCTTGAAAACCCCATGGAGCACAATTCTACTCTGCACACATGGGGGCGCCATGAGTCAGAAATGACTTGATGGCAACTGGCAACAACAAATTAACTGTTATAATGACACGAAACATCAGAAGCTTCACAATTGCACAGTTTTCCAAAACCCAAGTCAAGGTATTACCCACACGGCTGCATTGGCAGAGGTCTAGCTCCGTCTTTAGTTGCCTACGGGTGGCATGGTGTTACATGCACTCTTTCACAGTGGATCTCATTTCTGACAGTCACAGAGAACTGTGAGGGGTCTAAGACACTCAATTTTAGCACCCCGCCCTTGGGGAAATTAAAACCCACCTCAAAGAGTCTCGGCTGGAAGGCAGAGGCAGCAGGAAGTGGGGCAGGGGCCACCACCGCTCAGTACAGCGGCATACTGCCTGAGCTTGGCTTTGGGTAAATGGGCAGCGGAACCTTGCACAGTCTGCACAGTGTCAGGACCCACCATGCCACGCAGTAAAGAGAAGTCTACAGGAGTCACTTCCACTCTATTTTTGTTAGAGTCCACCCATCGCCACCCAAGAGGTTTGTCACTGAGTGAGAAATAAGAAATCAGTCAAAGAAACCCATTGCAGTTGAGGCAATTCCAACTCGTAGCAACCCTACAGGACAGGCTAGAACTGCCCCATAGGGTTTGCAAGGAGTGGCTGGTGGATTTGAACTGCCGACCTTTTGGCCAAAGGCTTGACCACTGTGCCACCGGGGAAATTAGTCAGGGAGGAATCAAGTCAGAATAATTCAGGGATGACGAGTCAGCGAGCCTTTTTAGTATACTCAACCCTCCATTTGCAGAAGCAAATATTTTTAAACAAAGCCTTTAACAACACTTTCAGAAAACAGAGTTTCTTCCTAGGGCATGCATTTTTGGAGGAGTGGGGGGTGGTTCCGTGTGGTCTCTTGTGCCCAAATATTGGTGGAAATAAGGTGAACAAAAGCTTCATCCCGAAGAACAAGAAGAGTCAAGCGTTTGAGACCTCCCTTGGAGGTTTCCTCTGACAACAGATTTGTATTCATTCCATGAGCACGACGAGATCAACACATGGGAGAAGGTTATTGCCTTGAAGGGAGAGGTGCTCTTCTCTGCCCCCCGAGAAGTGGTTTACTTTTGCCTGTTGACGTCAGTGAAGGCTGTGTGCATGCACAAGACATAGCAGGGCTTAGACAGGACATAAGACAAGGTTAGTTACCTACACAGGTGCAGAAGAAGATACAATAGAAGAAAAGACGAGATTCCCTTCGACAAGTGGCTTAGAATCACATCACCAAAAAGGAGCTCTTTCGAATGAAGTGGCACAAGACGACAGCTAAGCCCTAAATGAAATGCTATGGAGCCCTGGTGGTGCAGTGGTTAAGAGCTCGGCTGCTAACCAAAAGATTGGCAGTTCAAATCCACCAGCTGCTCTTTGGAAACCCTATGGAACAGTTCTGCTCTGTCCTACAGGGTCACTGTGAGTTGGAATTAACTCGACAGCAATGGGTTTGGTTTGGGTTTGGAACTGATATGTTATAGACACAAAACTACACAAATCATAGGAGGAGGTTTGTAAATGTATATAGATACCAACATCTCACAGCAGGCCTACTGAGCTTAATTTAATAAGGAGAAGCTCAAGCATTCATAACTGTTTTATGAGGAAAGTCAGATTTTGGAAGCACTGACCTAGGCCATAGGCAATGAGAGAGTTCAGAGGTGGAGTTGTTAGGTGCCATCAAGATGATTTCGTCTCTCGGCAACCCCATGTGACACAGTAAAACTGCCCCATGGGGTTTTCTTGCTTGTAATCTTTATGGAAGCAGATCTCCAGGTCTTTCTCCACCAGACCTTCAAACCACCAACCAGAGCTCCTTCAGAGATGGAAAGGACGAAGGAAAGCGAGAGCAAGGAAGGGCGCGAGGGAGCTGCTTCTCCTAAATGTAAACTGCACTCCTGCCCTCAGACGCTTGTCCCCTGTTCCCTTCTGGGCACCAAGCAAGAACCTGAAGGTAAATATTCATTCTTTGAAGTCACGTTTATCATCTTATTCATTCTTCTGCAAGCATTTCAATACATACAAGACACTCTACTAGGTACAGAGGACACAGAGGCCAACAGAGACCACCTTGCCCCTGCCTCTAGAGAGCTCACAGTCAAGCTGGGGAAACAGACACTAACAAATCATTATGATACCACGTGGAAAAGCCCTGTTGTAAGGGCGTGTCCAAAGAACAAAGGGGCACAGTCAAAGGAGGGAGGAATTAGTTCTAAAGGGCGAGGTGGGCAGGGCGGGGGTTGTTGACTAAGACACACAAAAGTGTTCGTGTTGAAAGGAGGCCGGATGGCAGAAAAGAGAAGGGAGGTTATTCACGAAGAGGGGCTGGTCTGTGCAAAAAGCAGGAAGGTGCACACCTGTCTGGGAGTCCCCCGGTGTAGCAAGAGTGTAGGATGTGGCAGACAATAGTGGGGGATGAGTCTAGAAAGAGGGAGTGGGCTCAGATTATACACCATGCCAGCATGTCTGGGTTTTGTTTTATAAGGCGTTGAGTGTCACTAGAGGTTTTAATCATGGTAGACTGCAATTGGCTCTGTACTTTAGAATTGAAATAGGTACCAATGTTCATAGGTCGCTGTGAGTCTGAACCGGTTCGACAGCACTTAGAAACAGCAACAGTGTGTACTCTAGATTAGAGCAGGCGGAGATTTGAGGCAGAGAAACTAAACATAAATTATTGGAACAGCTCAGACAAGAGACCACAGAGGACAGACCTACAGCTGTTGTTGTTCGTTGCCATGGAGTTGGCTCTGACTCACGGTGGCCCCATGTATGACAGAACAAAACGTCGCCCTGTCCTGTGCCATCTTCATGATCGTTGGTATGTTTGAGTCCGCTGTTGCCGCCATTGTGTCAATCCATCTCACTGAGGATCTCCCTCACCTTCCCTGGCCCTCCACTTTCCCAAACATGATGTCCTCCTCCAGTAATCAGTCCCTCCTGATGATGCATCCAAAGTGAGTCCAAGTCTCCGACAATATTCTGTGATCCATCGGGTTTTCATTGGCTAATTTTCTGAAGTGGATTGCCAGGTCTTTCTTCCTAGTCTGTCTTAGTTTGGAAGCTCCACTGAAACCTGTCCACCATGAGTGACTCTGCTGGAATTTGAAATATTGGTGGCATAGATTCCAACATCATGGCAACATGCAAACCACCACAGATGACAAACTGATATTGGCGGTGGGACCTACAGCAGGGATTGTTATTATTCAACCTGGTATAACTCTGTGCCAGGTGCTCACGCTCTCTGAGCTGTGGTTGTGTCCTCCCTGTGAGGGGTTGTACTCAGTGACGTCAAAGGTCGCTTTCTGCCCTGACATGCTCTGGCTCTTTGACTTTGCCCTTCATACTGAGAAAGCAGCCACACGGCTTCCTCCCAGGTTGTGGACAGAAGCATTTCTCTCCTCTAGCATCCTCTTGGATTTTCAGCTCCGTCCATGCCAATGCCCAGTGGCAGTGGAAGAGTTGTTTGGGGGCCATCTGGTGCCGTTTCCCTTGCTCCTGCCTATACGAGCATCTGGGAAGACAGACTCTGGGCAGACAAGCAGGCAGACAGCAAGGACGAGAGGCCAAGAAGCCCACGGAAGAGAGTGCTGGCGAGCAGGGGGGCAGGGCCCAAGCCCCAGTGTCCTGGCCTGGCCCACTGTAGGAGGGTACCCATGGGCATCCTAGCGCTGCTGCATAAATCAATAGACAGTGTTTATATATCACAGTTTAAACAGCACTTTTACATCCAATATCTCAGGTAACGAGGGGGTGGGGAGCCTGTTTCTCTATTCATTGAGAGACATTTGTGTTTCCCCAAAGGGATTTGAAAGAACAGGTTAAAGGACACTAATAAAGTAACAAATACCAGGCTATTTAAGTTGCATGGAGACCAAAACCAAAAAACCAAACCAGTTGCCGCCAAGTTGATTCCGACTCATGGCAACCCCATGTGTTTCAGAGTAGAACTGCGCCTCATAGGAATTTCAATGGCTGTGACCTTTCAAAAGCCGATCACCAGGACTTTCTTCTGAGGCACTTCTGGGTAGTTCAAACCTCCAGCCTTTAAGTTAGCAGCCAAGCATATTCACCATTTGCAGCACCCAGGGACTCTAAAATAAAGAAATTAGGAAATTTGCTGAGAGTCCAACACAGGTTTATCTGACTCCAACGCCCTCGTTCTTTCCTTTATGAAACTAACTATACGTTGACCCAAGCCATCCTGAAATGAACTGCAGGTAGAGTTTAAGTTTCTTACTGCACTGGACAGAAACAGAAAAGCAGACTGACCATTGGTGGGAATTAAGCTTTAAAGCTAGAGAACGAAATTACCAAAAGCCCTAGCAGATGTCTCGGAGAATTATTGTAAAACCTTAATAGGATGGGACAGTGTTCACATACTCCATAGTCCTAATCAAGCAAAACAGAAGGATTCAGCTTTACTGCTTACTAAGCCACAGGAATATTATCTAGATCTCTTGGAGGCTCACAAGACTCATCTTTCAGATTGAAAGGCCTTTGACTAGTTGTCCTCCTTCAGCCAGCCAGACACCAAAAGCAATTTCCTGCAAACGAAGGAATCTGCCGTAAGCCTGCAGGACTGTTAGGAAGTTCCTCACAACACAATAGGCTGCGTGTTTAATCTGTGCACGTAGAGACCTTGCAGAACCACTCAGGCTCATTTCGCTCTAAGGCCAAATGAGGAAAAGCAAGGCTGAGCGCAGCGGCCAACAACAGACCGAGGGCTCAAAGGCTGCGTGTCAACCCCATTAGGACTGCCCGTGGGCCGTGTCCCGGGAATCTGTGCCACGTTCATCTGTGAACTAACCTGGAACCCTGTATCAGGAAACTACTTTCCTAGGCCAGCTGCTTTCATTTCTTTCCTTATTTTTGCTTAAGTCATAAAAGAAGAGTTTTATTCCACTGGGGATTTGAAGGAAGAAAAAAAAAACTGATTCTGATCCAACTTCATCAGGAAAAAAATAAGGGCTGATTTTGCTCTCCAAGTCACGTAGTTGGTTGAAGTCCATCCCATTCCAGGAGTGCTATTGTCTGGAGTCACCAAGTCTCAGTCCTGAGGCCAGTGAGAAGGCATTTCCCCCTCACCACTCTGTCCTTCGGAAGAATTGGTGCAGGTGACCATTTCTGTCCTGTCCTGCGTTGAGTCTCAAGACTCAGTATAGAAATCACGAAGCTGAACCTAACGTTCTCTGCTTCAGTGGAGAGAGATGGGTCTTTTTAACAAGGCTCATCAACCAGTGGGCATTTTTTCTTCCTCGGATAATAAGTGTTGGTGGGTTAACGGGTCATCTTCAGGCGAGAGGTCAGCAGAAAAAACTGCAGTGTTCAAAGCTGGAGCTAGAAAGACCAAGCCATCAAAGAAAGCAGCCTGCAGTGGGCAGCAATGATGTATAAGGCGTCCACTGGCCAGCCCCGTCGGAGAGGTCAGAGCGAACCTTTATCTGAAGCCAAGCCCGGTGAAGGTCACTGAATGTGTGTGACGCTGGGCTGGGGCGGCCCTCGTGAGAATCAGTCCGGGAAGCGCTAGTGAGCTGCTTTTCACTGAGGGAGGATTGTATTCCCACTCGTTGAAGATCGACGTTGGAAGTACTTTGAACAGTGAAAAGAACAAAAAAAGCAAGCAGCCACCAAGAAAAGAGAGAGAGAGAAAGGTATCAGCAGGGGTGGTTAGTGAAAAGGGGCCTGGAGACAGAAAAGCTTTTGTTCCCAGAGTTCGTTTCATGTAGAGATTGTGAGGTGACTGGCTTTGAAATGAAGTGGGTTTGTGAACAGTTGCTAGGGCACAGGAAGCAGGACTGTCAGGCTGTTTTGTGAAGCAGTTTCTTTAAAATGTAGGTTAATCTTAAAAAGAATTTATTCCCTTTTCTTGGATTTTCTTTCTTTTTCTCCTTCTCTTTTGGTGGGGTGGAGGGAGAGTTAGGTTGGGGAAGGTTCTCCCCTTTCTGTCGTATTTTCCAACCTTTTTCATAACGTAAAAAAAAATTATCACGTTACAAGTTCTTTGTCAGGAGTTTTCAGAAGCTAAACGGTAGGCGGGGCATTACCTTGATTCGTGAGCCAATGGCCGGGCAGTATGCAAATGAGTCCGTGATCCGCTTGCCCCGATCACAGCGTTGAGCTCAGACGCTTCGGAAACTTAACTGTGCGCAGGGCTCGGCGGATTCTGGTGGACGAACCAGCTCCATCCAGGGACCTTTCTCATTTTCATTTCACTTAACACTCAATGGAGGGACGGACACTGCAGTGCTTAATGCTGTCGTACTAGGTTAGGAAAACGGCTCAATTCACCGCTGCCAAAATGAAGTATAAGGTAAGAGAGATTTCCTTCTAAGGCTTAGGCTGTGCCTGCGAGTGTGTGTGTGTCCGTCTGTCTGTCTCTTCCACTGGGGCACCTCCTCTGAAAGGGGCCTTTCTGTGCCCGGGAGAGTTCTCAGAAAGAGAACATGCAAGCAAGCAGACACCTAATCTCAGAACCAGGACCTGTCGTCTCTGAGAGTTGCCGGGAAAGGACGCGGGGAGAAGTCAGTTGCACTAAGAGCAGACCTGCCCCGCCGTGGCTCCCGGGGTCTCGAGCCGGAAGCGCAGGAGGCATTGGCTCAGGTCCCGCCTGCTCTCCCGGGCCAGGGCTCCGCTATCCTGGGCAGCCGGAATAGGAGAGGAATCAAGCTGCTCAGTCTCCTAGGCTCTGAGAGCTTTTCAGACTTTGCTTTAGCGTCTTGCTCTTCGTCTAGGAAGCAGTTTACCATACATCCTTTGGGTGGGTGAAATTAAAAGCCCCAGGTACGATTGTGTAGCTGATGATGGAGAATTTTGACATTCTTAGGTGAAGTTGGATGCAGGAACAAATGAGTATTAGCCACTTCTTGAAAACACTTCTATTGGCGTTTGAATGGACTGAGGGTATGGACACTTCGTTGTGACTGGGGCTTACAGAATGTCATACTTTGATAGCATTATTTTCCCATGGATTTTACACTGTTATTTGGGTGTTTTTTCTTGGCAATAGGTTTCTGACTTGCTTGGCATATCCAGTTTGTTTTAAGTAGCCCCATCTAACGAGACAAGTGGTTTCCAGGGACAGAATTACTCTGTACCGATGAGATACCAATAAATTGGGCGTGATTTTTCCTTGGGTTGACAAATACTTCTATCCTAGAAGAGACATAAGTACTAACACTTTTATGCAAAAGTGCTGTTATGAACACTGATTGAGGCACAGTGTCTCTGCTTTTGGACTGACAATCCGTGGACTGACAATCCGTCTGGCCTCTGAGGTCATGCTAGCTGGCTGGGAGCTACAAGTCCTATGCTTCCCTTCTGAATTGCCAAGCTATGGACCCATCCTTTCTTAGTGTCAGGCTGTAAATACTTGGGTCTGGCTAATAGCCACTGGTTAACATCAGTGATAAATCTTTTGTTCAAAAGCTATAAATCTCCGTGTCCAAAGTCTTTATTGTAATGCATGAGTTCTGGTTCTCTTTGGAAAGGTTACAACTCTCCGAAGACACAGATACCAGTTGCCAGCTTTCCATTATCTGCCTCAGTAGGGGAGATCAGAAGACGTTAAGGTAACCCGGTAGACATTTAGATTTGACTTCCCAAAGCAACCAGAAACAAACCCTTCTACCGGCAAGCAAGTTTTGCTTCTGGAAGTGGTTCACCCCCTGTGCCATAATTCCCTTACTTAGAGCAGTGATAGGACCAGATATTACTTGGCCTGGGGTGATGTTTTTGCTCCTCCTCTCTCTGTTGCTGAATGTCTTCGTTTCATCTATAACTGTCAAGGGGAAAACAGAGAAAATACGTTCATACACTTATTAGCGGGAAGTATGAATGGCTGAAAATAACCGGGAAAGCTACACTCTAGAAAGTTACAGCGGCACGCACACAAGTCTAAAGTCCCCTTCATTCGGTGACCTCATCATGTTTAGCTCTACGCTTCTGGAAAGAAAGTGTCATGGTAGCTGGCAGTGTAGATGGCTCCTGGCTTTCGTGGAGAACACTGCCCTCTTTGCCAAATTTTACCGGTGTTTAAAAAAAATAATAATGATGATGCAAATACATGCTTTTTAGCATTCATTAGCTCATGGACTCTTTCCCCAGCAAGGAGGGAGGGGTCCTGCCTTCTCATCTCGTGCCGGCTAGAAAATGAACCATTCGCTGGAGCAAGCTGCTTTTCCTTTCTTATAAAGCCCGTTTTCTCTCTAGTTAGTCGTGGACAACTTGGTTTCAGGAGACGATTTTGTCATTTTCAGTGGAAGAGATGGCACACAGGGGAGGAGTGGTGAATAACATTATAATAGAGATTTACCTTGACAATACAGTTATTGTCCCCCTCACTCTGTGAGGTGGGCATTATTATCCTACTCCTTTTCAGATGTGAAAATTGTGGCACAGAGAGACTGAGTAATGTATCCAGTGCCATACAGCTAAAAATTGGTGGGACACGAACTCAGGTGACCTGGCTCCAGAACTTTCCATCTTACCCACTATTAAGAGAAAGAACTATCTGTGACCCACCCCACCCCGCCCCCACAAATGTTCTATGTGACTGGGGTTTACTTCTCCCAGGAAGTTGAAGAGTTTATTTCATCCCAAACATTCCTGCAGGATCGATTCTTACATCTTTAGACAGTAATTCTGCAAAGCAAAGTGAAGTGTACCTTTTGGTGTTATTTGTTTAATTTGAGCCACATTGGTAGTAAAACCAGATAATTATTAGATTGTAGATTCCTGGAGTCAGGAATTACCTTTCAAACACTACGTTGCTCAGTACACTATAAACTTAGCACAGTCAGAATTAAAAATGTTCATTGATTTATAATTCAGACCCATTAGATTTTTTTTTTTTAACCAGATTATCTGGTTTGGCTGCTTCAGGGATCATAAGTAAAGAGCAACCAAATCTCCACTCATTTTGTACTTAATATACACAGCTTCAGGCCAGCCAGCTACGTATTTACAATAATCTTGAGAACTGTGGAATATAAACTATTACAGCCTTTTTTGTATGCACACATCTAATCTATTTTTATTTCATTGTGGCTTTTTTATTTGTTCATGTAAATACTGTGGTCATTGTCATATGTACTTAATATCCCATTTCTCTTAGAAGGTGTTCAGTCTGTGGTTATGTGATCCTTAAGTATGGGGGCTTGATTGATTTGAGAGTTTTCTATAAGCTTCTCTGAATATACAGAGCCTGTTCTGAGTGCTGGGATGGGGGTCGATGGCCTTGACTCACTTGCCCAAGGAAGGCTGTGCCTCCTGAGGGTATGGAGGTGGGATGGTGCTGCTGTTTTCCAGGAAGATGATTGAAGGTGTGCAACTGTGTTTGAGCAGAGGCCCGAGGCTCCGCCTACTTTGTCCTGGAGAGGGAGGAAGGAGACCTTGTGGGTGCTGAGCCTGGCTGGTCTATAATAGCTGAGCAGCCCTTTGAGGCTTGGCCAAATTTCTGAACCCTTATGTGCCTATGGACCCTGGTGGCATAGAGGTTAAGTGCTACAGCTGCTAACCAAGAGGTAAGCAGTTTGAATCCACCAGGCACTCCTTGGAAACCCTATGGGGCAGTTCTACTGTGTCCCATAGGGTCGCCATGAGTTGGAATCAACTGGACGGCAGCAGGTTTGGGTTTTTGGTTATGTGCCTATATTCCAATTGTAAATGATTGATCTAGCCTATCATACAACAAATTCATTCTTAAACTTTTTGATTGAAGAAAACTTATAGATGGCATTCACAGACATTGAAGAAAGCTACTATCAGAAACTCGATTCCTATATTCTGGTTGAATGTGAGGCAGATGGAGGAACAAGAAACTGTGTGCTGTAAAAACCTTTTGAGAGGACTTTGAAAATATTTTCATTTCCTCAAGGTAGCTTGAGAAAAAAATGATGGCAGCTCTTTCATTTTGTCAATATAGTCATATATGACTTTTATAATTTCCACTTCTTTTCTTACCATGATATAAACCAAACTCATTGCTGTTGAGTCGAGTCCAACTCATAGTCAGACCTTACAGGACGGGGTAGAGCCGCCCCATAGGGTTTCCAAGGAGCAGCTGGTGGATTTGAACTGCCAACGGTTGGCAGTCGAGCTCTTAACCATTGTGCCACCAGGGATCCTACTGTGATGTACTGGTTTTAAACTCTTTATTTGCCTCTAAATTATTTGTTGCAGTTAATCCAAACGGGAGACTCAGGTTCTCCCCCTTTTTAAATCTTGCCTGAGAATTATGAAGGTACCAAAAGATCGTTTAAAAGAGATTATCTTATCTTTTTTATTTCCATTTTTAGCCCACTCATTTTCAGAGCTGAATGATCTACCTACGTGCAGATGAAAGCTTTTACAGAACCGAAGGTGTAGTTCTGATCATACCAAATTTAGCAAGCTGCAGTGTGTAACATACCAAGGATTCCTTTAGCATCCTTTCACTGCTGGAATAGCCATCAGTCCTCTTTTAAGGTTTCACCAGTGGCTTCCTGTCTGCCCACAGTCTTCTAAACAAAACCTTCCTCTCTACACTTCAAGCCTTTTTCAAGTCCCCGCCCACCTTCTGTGCCCTTCTGCCCTCGTAGGCTCTCATTTTTTCCATTTAAGCATTCTTTATTCTTCTCTAATACCACAGTGGAAACCCTGGGGGCATAGTGGTTGAGAGCCACGGCTGCTAACCAAAAGGCTGGCAGTTCGAATCCACCAGGCGCTCCTTGGAAAGTCTATCAGGCAGTTCTTGTCTGTCCTGTAGGGTCGCTATGAGTCAGAATTGACTTGACGGCAATGGGTTTGGTTTGTTTTTGGTGACACCAGACTAAGAAGCCCTGGTGGCACAAAGGTTAAGCGCTTGGCCGTTAACTGAAAGATCATTAGTTCAAACCCACCAGTGGCTCCACGGGAGAAAAGACCTGGCAATCTGCTCCCGTAAAGATTACAGCCTAGGAAACCCTGTGGGGCAGTTCTACTCTGTCCTGTAGGGTAGCTATGAGTCAGAATCAACTCAACGGCACACAACAACAACACCACCACCACCAGACTTCTCTGGGTCTCCCCTCCCCTACCTACATGAAGGTGACACCCTGAAAACGTACTTCGTCCCTGACCTTTCCCCTCCTCTGCTTCTGCACTGGGACATCTTGGCTCCTTGCTACTTCCATTGGTATGTCCCTGTCTCTTTGTGCCTACGTGACTTGGTTAGTCTGTCACTTCTATCCATCCATTCTATAAAAGAATCAAAAGGCTATGCCTTTGTCCCTTTGTCCTGCGATCTTTAAAATAGGCTTTATGATTTTCACCTCTGCCCTACTCTGTTAGCAC